TGTCATATTTGGGCGGCTTATTATTCCATTTTGGGCCACACCTTAGGCCCATGTACACACCTCACTTGAGACCCAATTCCCATTCCATTTACCGAAATTCCACCACTGTTCATCCGCCATTTTAAATTCAGTTGAAGCACTAGAAAATGACCTTAATTCATTGCTTGGACTAGGAATTGTACTTCCCACTTGTTATGGGCTTACGAATTCTATTTCTTCCCTAATTCCGTATTTGTTTTCCACCACTAGTCCACATTATATTGGAATTAACTAAACCAGCCCCAAAACACTACAATTGCCATTATAATTCATGTCCATCCACTTGGTCGCTTGAATCTTTCATTCGCACGCATCATCGTCTCATTTACAACATTTTCATCTTTCTCTTTTGAGAGAATCGTTTTTGCAGGTATTTATATGTTTTTTCTGAATTTTCAATTTGGTATCTGTGTATTTTTTTCCTCTTAACCAAATACTTTAATTTTGTTTTCTTAACACTGTTAGTCCCTGTAACTTTATGCTATCAATACCGTTAGCCTCTCTGCAAGAGCATACAATACAAATAGAACAAAAATAAAGTATTTATTTAAGAGAAAAAACAACCATATACCAAATTGGAAATTGAAGGAAAGTACCTACAAAATGGTTTTCTTTTCTCTTTTCTTTCATTATTGTATCCATCAATTTTCCTCTTCCATTGTTCAAACGCAGTCTCAGGTATTCCTCTTCTCCATTTTTCTGCACTTGCAACAACATCATCCCAGTTTTTAAAAGAAATTGTGTTAAGGAACTTGAGAGTCCACAATCCTTTTTTTTTTTTTTGAGTGGACCACAATCCTATATTTAATATTCATGGAGGTTCATCAACTTTGGCAGCGGGCCAAGTTCAGCAAGATCATCATAGATTTCGCCAACAATAATAAGCGCTAAAAGAACTTTACTATGCCAAGTACTTCACAGAAAACCAGCAGAGAACATTAGCATGCACTAATACCAATTCAGTGTTTTCAATGTGAAGATGGTAGAAAATAAATAGCCTTGGAGAAAAGCTGACTTTTGTAAGAGATACTAACTCCGATTCTAAATATAGAATCTAGAAAATTAGCTTATTTTGGTCTTAAATGTAAGACTTTAATTTATTTTGTCTTTTAAATTTATAATTTTTTACCAAATTATCCCTTTTGTTAGAAATATTAAGCAAGATCCCAATCAAGGTGTGATTTAAATGCACAGGATTAAAATAGAGTAGTTTAGAAAAATCAAGGTACATTTATTACAAAAATTGCAAATTACCTATGGGCAAAGCTTAATAGTTAACTTATATTACTTTGCACAATTTTGTTAAGTATTAATAGCTCAATGGTTATATAATTTTTTTGAAATGTAAGAGGTGATGGAAACAAATCCCATCTTGATCGACTTTACTATAAAATATGTCCCTCATCCCTTCTGATGGTGTGGTGGGATCAATTATTTTCTTTGTATGTTTTTGAGCTTTTTAATTATATTTCTCTCATTCATGTTCTAATTTCTTATTAAAAAATGATTGATAATAAGTATTAAACATACAATTTCAAACCCAGCATTCTTTTTTACGTATATGAACAGTCCACGATCTTCGATAAAGGGAAAGAAGTGATAATGGATACTAAACCCTCATGCAATTACGGAAAGAAGTGTGTGGACAAAAGTTCTAAGCACGCAATTAACTGGAGGGCAAAAAGTATCACAAGCCACAACCATATCCATGGAACTAATAATTGAACCCGTGTTACGTGTGATTTGGAACTTCTATACCCAATGCCTAGAGAAAGATGGAATCAGCCACAAATCAATTCCAAAAAGCTTCATCACCAAACTTCTTGAGTAGATCAGCCATGGAAGAGAGGGAAAGACATGTAAAATTGATGGAGAATATGGGAGAAAGTAGCGGAAAGAACAAGATGGAAATGATGAAAGATGAGTGAGTGATAGATGCCAAGTGGGTTTGCTGTTTTCAAGAATTAGGTAACTAATTCATAAAAATTAAAGATGAGCCAGTTTGGCATAGCTTTAAAAATCACTTATAAATATGTTTCACGTAAACTGAAACAAAACTTTTTTCATATACTTACCTCGTATTCCGTAAATTACAATTAAAAAGCTACTTATAAGCTATTCCAAATAAACCCGAAATAAATTGAAGTTAGTTATTTATAATAAATGAGCGTTATATTTTCTAAAATATTACTATCAATTATATACATTAAAATTACCATTTCATGAAAACTTCTTAACATGTACAATCACCGTATAAGGATTATTTTGAGCGAAATAGATGAGTATTGGAAACAAATTAGATTGAGACCTCATATTTAAAAGACTGAAGTAGTACTTAAAGCCCCCAAAAGAGAAAAAAGAAGTAGAAATTGGCAGCGGAAACAAGAAATTAAATCACAATGGGTCTTCCGTAAACCATCAACATGATCTGGTTTCCCCTTTTCCCGGTGGAACCCGTGAAGAAAAAGAAGAAATCGTCTGGAGATTTCTGGGAACAGTGGCGCCAATTTCCCTTCAATTTTAAGCTTCAAACTGTGCGTTTTATTGCTGCTGTTCCGATCCCAATTATATGCGTTTTGACAGCTGATTCTTCTCCTCTCAAACCCGAAACTCTGCGTTTTACTGGCTGTAATCTTCACTGTTATTTTCTGAAAGTTTAGTCCTTGAATGTCATTCTCTTGATTCGTTGTTTATCATCCTTTATTTGGGTTTTCAATGTACTTTTTTCCCAGAAATTTCATGCACAAAATAAAATGTTCAAAGGTGATATTTCTTTTCACTACATAATAAGAAATTAAAGAGTTAAAAACCTAACCAGAAAATTCTGCATTTAATTGACATTTAAGATTGTCATGCATATTACACCCAAAAAAAAAAAAAGATTGTCATACACACACAGACACACACATATATATTCTTTATTTTGAAAATGTATACAAACTTCTCTTAAAATTAAAAGATACGTTTAATCTAAAAAGTTAAAATGTATATGTTATTCATACTTTTTATATGTTTGTGATTTTATTTCTATTCATCTAAATGTTAATTGGCCATTAAGTTTACTCTCAAACTCTTTTTGGACCAAAATACCCCTCTTTCATATAAGAGTTTTTAAATATGTATATTTCCCAGACAATACTTTTCTTTTTTGATACAGACAAACAATACACAAGCAAAAAATAATTTGAATGCATATATTTTAAAAATTAATAAAATTTATTCATTTTGATTATATTATATAATTATGTGTTTTTCATCACATTCACTAAATAAAAGTTTCTTTTCAATAACTAAAAAATATTTCAAACATATATTGTTTTATCATGCAGTACAAATGATATGACTTTTAGAGATTCTATGAATCACTTAAATTTAGAATTTAAAATTGTAAACATATTTTTGCTACAAACATTTTATAAACACAGAGTCAAGTATACATTTAACAAAAGAATTAATCAAATTTTCAATCAGGTTTTTATGCCTGTCTTAACAAAATTAATTGAGCGTTTGTCTCACTAAGTAAAAACATTAATCAAATAACTATTTGAAACAAGAAAAATTAAAGTTAAGGAAAAGAAAAAGAAAAGTGTTAAATTCTTCAAAACAATTTTAGCCAAAAAGAAATTTATCCAAATAAATAGAAATTTAGTATGATGATGGGTAAGTTAGAAAATAAATATCTTTTCAGAGTATTATTAACAAAATTAAAGGTTTGGACTTAAGCATATGTTTCTCTTACTAAGATACGGCAACCCTTGCTAAAACATGAAAAGGGGGGAAATTCAAGATCCACCCCTGGTTACAAATCTTTGTTTGGTTTTCGCGATATCCATGGATGAAATTCAAATAAATTAATTTGTCTTGTTATTAATTTTTTTTAATTAAAAAGACCAATAATGGTTTTAAAAGATCCATACCGAATATAAAAAGAGAACCGAGGTTCCATTGCAAAAGAAAGTAGAACTAATAAGCACAAGCTTTTTCATTTCACTCCAATCGCTCTCTACCACTTTCCCTTCTTTCAAATAGTAATATCTTCAAAACCAAAGTCCCTCAGTCAAAACCAATACCTTCGCTTTCAGCAATCAAGAACTCTGGTTTTCCTCGTCGGACAATCCAATGCAAGGCTTCAACCTTCAGTGATTCTAATCAAAACAATGCTTCTCGTGGATCTTCATATCCCTTTCAACCTTCAATTTGGGATTATGATTATATCCAATCAATAAGAAGTGATTTTGTGGTATGGCTTGTTTCACGCTAATTCATTTACTTGGTTTGTTGAAATCTTATTTCATGTATTGATAATATACCTGTTTATCTATGCATAGTCCATTTTCCAAAGACTATGATGGCCAAATTTTAAATTGTTATGGGAAGAATCATGCCTAGAAGAAAGAGATCAGTTGAAGGAAGAAGTACGATTGATGCTCTTGACAATGACAGATCTTATCGAACAACTAGAACTCATTGATGACATCCAAAGACTGGGAGTGGCTTATCATTTTAGCCAACAGATAAGGAACGTAATGCAAAAGATTTACAATAATAAAACATTAAGGATAAGTAACAATTTATATGTCGTTGCTCTTCAATTTAGACTCTTTAAGACAACAAGGCTACTATGATGTGATATCGGGTAAATATTTTATTCAAAAATCATAAATTTCACAAAAATCACATCATTACTGAGAATATAACTGTATTAACCAATGCTAACAACTATTCAAATATGTATTACACGGTTATTTTCAGAGACATTTGATGCATTCCTTGATGACAATGGTAATTTTCAATGGTAATTTTCAGTTGTGAACATCGGTGGAACTACAAAAGTTTACTAATAAGAAGAAAATATGCATGCTACTAATAATAAGCCGATCTTTTTAACTTGATGCTATTCTATTTGACGATGGTGGAAAAGAACTGGATTTGGACAAAAGCCGAATTTTGTAAGGGATAGAATGGTTGAGAACTTCATTGAGACAGTGGGTATGGCTTTTCAACCACAATTTGGATATTTTAGAAGAGTGGTTTCAAAGGTTCATGGAATGATAACTATAATTGATGATATATATGATGTTCACGGTAGTTTGGAAGAACTAATACTTTTCACAGAAGTGGTCAACAGGTAAGTCTTGTGTTTTTATGATACATACATGCAAGTGTATCCATATATGGATGCATATATCCCAACATTTGTTGCCATTTTATACCTCTTTGATGACATAGATGGGATATAAATGCCATGGATGAACTTCCAGACTGCATGAAAATTAGTTTCCTTGCACTTAATAACTTTGTCAATGAAGTGGCTTTTGATTTCCCCAAAGAAAATGGACGCAACATCATTCCACACATTAAGAAAGTGGTATGCTTCGGTTTATTTCATCGGTTTCATCTTTTCTTATCTTATATAATATAAATTAATTAATCATGATGTTTTCTATTTTATATATTAATCATTGTGTCCAATTTTTTTTCAGTGGGCTGATCTCTGTAAATCATATCTGGTTGAGGCAAGATGGTGCAAGCTTCCTTGAGAACCTAGAATATGCATGGATTTCAGTTAGTGGACCAGTCATACTTTTTCATGCTTATCTTTTACTTCCTAATTGAACAAATAAGGAGGACTCGATTTGGGCAGAAGAATATTCTAATTTATTCGTTATTTATCAACCATTTTGCGCCTTGTCAATGATTTGGGATCAGCTAAGGTCTTTTCATATTTAATTAAGGGAAAATTGGGGAGAGGGACCTGGTGGCAAAAATATTTATGGGGAAAGACCTTAAAAATTTTATTTAGTTGGAAAGACCAAATACTAAAATATAGATTTAAAATTACGAATTTGCCCTTAACAGAATTTCATATATTAACTCTCACCACATCCTATAATTTTCTTTTTTTAACAAAATAATTAAACTTTATTCAAATTATTTCAAACTAATTGGAATTATTAAGTTACAAAACAACTCTAACTAATCAAATCAAATTCAATTAATAAGTAACACTAAGTAATTTATTCATCCATCATTTTCGAAAAATAAAACTCTTTTCTTGGGCTTCCTGAATAATAATGAGCCAATCAAAATCATATAGTTGAATTAAAAATTAAAAAAAGTGATACAATAATAAATAATATATAACTTATTGATAATTAATAAGAATAAAAAAACCATGTAGCTTTGAACTTGAATTTTCTTACTCAAATTATTATAACTACTTTTATTATGACAAATATTTATTGATATAATGAATTTATTATGTCACTTTTTATTTTAAATTTTTTAATTTTATTCAGTAAGAGGATTCAACTTATTTAAATGAAATAATAGTACGAAATCAATAAGCAAACATATGAAATTTTTTTTTTCTATGTATGGTAGAACTTTACTATCATACTCATTTTTCAGAAAGCCTACAACAAATTGTTAATTAAAAATAATGAAAAAAATAAATTAATTAGTGTTGGCTATCAATTTGATTAATTAGAACCAGTGTCTGACTTTGAGCAAATAATATTTGCCTAAGAAATCATGAAATTATTATGTTGATGTGAAAATAATGCAATTGAAAAGTGATTTAAAAATAATTTATTTGAAATTTAAAGAAATATGTCTTGAGGTGGATGGGGGAAATTCATGGATGGAATTAAGATAGTAAAATGAAACACATGAGTATCATGTGCACTACTTTCCCACCCCGCCAACATGAAAGTGAAGCACATATCCCTATACAGCAATGACATTTTGACTGGAAAAATCCCTTTCTCCCAATATATTTTTCTTGCATAGCATAACTAACCTTCCAGTTTATGTGGCCTAGATGCTATCAATTGCTTCTATTACATCTTGAAAAAATGGGAAGTATCATGAATCCTTTGCTATTTTTGGGTGACAATAAGAAAATGTAGGATTGCGTGGCTTGATATTCTCCCGAGATATACTGAGGCAACCATCCAACACTCTATGAAATTGTCAACTGACATTTTCTCCTGAATACTAAAACCTTTCTTGTATCATCTTATTACACTGGTCATGTGCAATTCTATTCAAGAACATGGCAACAGATTCATAAACATCTATGTACTTAGAATTTTGTAACCCATGTTCAACCAATTTAGAGCATAACCAATGGAATGTCTCTGTTTCCATTTGAAACATATCCTTAGACCGTCCTTCATGTTTGTGCAAAAGTTTTTGTACCTATAAGTGACCTGTTTGTTCACTAGTTCTACATAGCTGTTTACACACAAAAGGTGTCACATACTGACCCATTAATACACTTAACTCTAATAATTGTGTTGGGTGTTCATGTAAAGTAGGAAGTAATTGAGACGGTTCATCTTTATTATTAAATCTTGCATTATCCCAACTTTTGTCCAAACCCTCTATTGAATCAGACATGGATTATATAACCTATAAGTGGTTAAATACTAAGTGTGAGTATTTGAAATGAGAAATAAGTATTATTTTCACGCAAAAAAAAGATAATATACAAATAGTCATTAACTCTAACATAGTCATTAAACACACATAGTCATAACACATAGTCACTAAACACATTAAACTAGGAAAACATAAGTCATAATAGGTCCCTTGACACAACTCAAGGATTCTTGGGTTTCACATATGGTGGCAGGTTGTTAGCATTGTACTTCAACCAAGCTACAAATACCTCCTGATTTCCTCTCAAGCTAGCATATATATCCTTGAAAGTCTTGTTTGCCAAAAGATTACTACAAAGGACACAAAGATGAGTGTTATTAGCAATTTCCTCAATACTTGGCATATTAGTGTTAAGCTTAGTGGTTATATCACTATGGAATGGAGCAGAGCATGATAGACTAGATCCACTTAGCCAGATCAGCCACTTGCCCCATGCATGTATCAGATCAATGAGAAAAAAGGAGAAGAGGGTTGAATGTGGTTGAAGAGTGGAGAAGACCAGTGGCCACACGGACAAAAGAAGAGAAAGGGAGTATACTACATCAATTTGGGTTGGACACCAGTGGCCACATTGACAAAAGAAGAGAAAGGCCGAATTGGTAACCACTTTGACAGAAGAACAGAAAGAGAGAACCGACGGCTACGCAGACGGAAGAAGAGAAAAGGGAGATCTGTTTGAGTGAGAAGAGGGAGAAGAGTAAGTGGAAAATGTGAGGGCAAATTTGGTAGTGTTGAATGAGCATTAAATACTCTCCTTAACGATAAATTGCCTTATTAAACGCACATAAGCTACTTTTCCTAGTGTTGGAACGCGCTGCCATTTTGCCCCAAAAGTTGGTTGGGCTAAAGGCCCATCCAAGCAACTAAATGAATCCAAATAAGCCCCGTACCTTAGTTTCACACTTGCCCATTTGCTTTTACAAGTCCAAATGAAAATCCAAACATCCCTTGAATTAGGCCCAAACCAAAACAATTCACCTCTGGTTCTGTCTCTATCATGTAAACATTAGAAGTTAACTAACTGGCTGTTTGGATTAATAAGGTTGGATTTAGTAAAAGGGATTAGTTTTTTAAAACATAATGAGTCATGATTCACATTTCCTCTGAGAGAGCTGCTCATATTTAGTATACAACAGTACCTCAAACAGAATTGCTTCTAATAAGAGGATATTTGTATCTTGTGAAAAAAAAGAAGCTTTTTGCCGTACAAAGGTTAGGTCTTGCTTAAATAGATTAGTTCCCCACAATATCACAAATCAAAGTTTGAATCTCTACTAGAACAAGTGCCAATATTAAATGTTCAACAATGCCCTAAATAAAATTACCTATAATAAAAGGATATTTGTACATAGCAAAAAAAAAGAAAAGAGAAAGGGCTTTTGCCTTTTACGTCATAATGTGAATGAATCTATTAGACAATGCTAGATGCATAGGATGTGAACACATATTATATATAAATATATATATATATATATATATTTCAAACAAGAGAAGGCAAAGCCAAGTGAATGATAAACTTCTAATCTTTAATATAAGTACAGGACGTTGGATACATTAAGGGATGAACATCTCAATATTTTGCTGCACTCCGAGCCTCTAAAACTATGTCAATAGAAGTAAAACTTTGATTGCTTTTGCAGGCTTATGTATCACCATATCATAATTCATGAGATCATGAGAACATAGATAGTATAATTAATGATGAGTCTTTGAGCTACCTCCTATTTAAAAGCCAATTTAATTTTTTGGAATATGAACCAAAAGCCAATTAAAAAGCTTAAAAATTAATTTAAGCCTAAAATTTATGTTTAAATTGACATTGGAGTTAAATAATTCTTTTGGAAAAGCCATACTAGACCTAAATTTTCATGACCCTTGTGGTCAATTTTAAACCAGTCACACTTGTATCTGTAATTCCAAGAGAGTTTCACTCAAGCAAGAATACCACATAATCGGGCTATGAGAACCTCATAATATCCTATCTTCCCATTGCTCTACGTTATTTTTAAAAAAAAAAGAAATATTTAACAAAAATAAAATGCAAAAATGCAAGATAAATTAGTTGCAAATAATAACACCAATGTTTGGATATTCGAAGATTTTCTTTTCTTTTTTTGTGTGGCTGAAAGGAGGTTTATGACCCAAATATGCAAAACAAAATTATTTATGACTTCTTTTATCATAATTCATGCACTCATTATGCCCTCTACAAAGTGTTAAAACTCACATCTTCGTGTTAAAAAAAAAATTTAAAAGAGGTAGTATTTAGTATTATTTGAGCTACAAAAATCCGAAAAAAATTACATGACTACTTACTTGTAGAAGGAGCTAAAACTAAAAAACCTGAATTTTCCTTTGCTTGTTTTTAAATCTTGGTTCTCTGATGGAGGCCTCCTCTCCCGTGCTAAATCCGTACTGTTTGATAAAATTTTAATGATTCATATTTAATATTTGATGAAAGCATTATTGATAGATGTTTAATTTTAAAAAAAAAATGAATGAAAAAACTGACTTCACTAAAATTTAATTAAAAGATCCAAAACTTAAGGAAGAGAGGAGAAAAGTGAAGTGGAAAGTAGACGAATTGCTTAAAGAATGGCTCTTCACCTTGTGCATGGTGTTTCCTTAACAGAAGAAAAATGTTCATGCTTAATTGTAAAGAAAGGGTTGCGATGAGAATAAAAGTAAAATGTTTATAAAATTTTGATTCTATTCTTTATTTTTATGTTTTCAGAACAATTTTACAGAAAAAATATATGAAGTGGTAAAGATGAAAACATAATTTTTTATATTTACTCAATTATTTTTAATAGACGTATTTTCAAGCAATTTTTTTTATTTCTTTCAAAATAAAAAACTGTTCTGAAGATAAGAAATCATATGCATATGTGTGTTCATATTACAGTGATACATAATGTATCAATCAACCCGTTGATAAGTTTTACATCGCATGAGATCCGCGTAAGTTGAGTCATAATAGAATTTTTTTTTTCAATTATACTATTTTAATTTTTAAACCATGCAAACTTAAAATGTTAAAAATTAAAATAAAAAAAAGTTTCTGGATAAAGCAGCATGCTGCACTCATGTTATT